CAACCCTCTTAAAAGTTGATAAACACACACACAAGTCCTTGCATTAATATTTTATTGTGAATTACTAAAAATTATTTTACTCTAGTCTCTTAAATTTTTTTTAATTAGTTGTTTAACATTATATTTCTTTGAAATTCTTAATGATGATTTGTTTTAACGCTTGTATTTAAAGAGTATCAAAGATAATATTCTGATGCTTGGTTAGTTATCAATTTGATAAAATAAAATTTTATTTTATTGATTAATAAAAATTAGAACTTTAATTACCGAATTTAAAGTATAAACAAATATTTAGTTCTTTTTTCTTATTAAGATCAGGACTACCTCGTGCGTTTAAGAAAAATATTTTTTTATACTTAACTTTTATTTTTTTTTAAATTTAATATTTTCACATTAATTTTATTTAGGGTTTCATTTGATAGTTTATTTTAATTATCTAGATATTAATAGAGTGAAAGGCTTTTATGATATTTAGACATCATGTGAGCCATAACTAAGCAGTCAAATAGTAGCTTTCAAAAAATATTGGAAGCGCCACTTTCATGCCTTTCTAGGTGATGTGAGGCAAGTAAGAAGGACTGTGATGGATAGGTTTAATGAGATTTTTTTCTTTTTTCTTTTTTCTTTCTTTTTTTCCCTCTCTTCTTCTAGGAAATTGTACTAACATGTAAAGATTCAAAGGTGACTTGTCATTTGTTATTTGTATCATCATTTTATTATTATTATTTATTTTATTTTGAATTTTTTATTAATTTATTTTTCAATTTTATCTATTAGCATTGGGTTTTATTTAATTTTTATATCAAATTTTATCTTTATTTTTTTATTGCTCTTTGTTTTTTTGTTTTTTTTTAATTGATTTTTTATCAATTTCTTCCCTTAGCATTTGGTTTTATTTTTTATATCATATTTGATCGTCATTCTATTTATTACTATTTGTTTTGTTTTGTTATCTATTTTTTTAATTTATCTCTCAAAAGGTTTTTTTTTATTGAGGATTTGGTTTTATAATTTTTGGGTTTGTGTCTCGTGAGCTGGTCCCTACTCCATACTTAGGTCATTGGTTTTAAAGATTAGCTCCAATTGATCTCAATCATTTTTAGGTCATTTTTCAATTTAAAATAATTAACATTGTTGGATTGTTGGGACTTGAATAAATATTTTTAGAAAAATGATTGTTTCAGTTTTAAGTTATTGTATGTTTACCCTAATTTTAATATTTGAATTTTAAAAATTAAAAATTAAAATTTATTTTTTTATAAGATTATTTTGATCTCACATAACCTAGATCATTCTAATTTTATGATATAGGTTGTATACCTAACAAATTTATGCAAATTAACTAATTTTTTTTTCTCAAATTTTTTTTTTTAGATTAAATATTTTCTCTGCTTCATTTTTTAATATTTAGTTTTTTCAAGCAATCATTAAAAATAATGTGGCGTCTTGGTTTTTCACAAACAAAGCAAGTTACTTTGAAATGTTTTTTACCGTCATCATTACCATTAGAGATATTGGAAGAACTTGTCTTGACATGCTTTATATTTAAGTTCGAACCACTTAAATTATTTTGTATTTCTTTTTCATGTAAAGAATGTTTAGAATTAAGTTCGATAAAAGAAAACTGGAACAACAAGAGCTACCGATATTACCGATACGTTAGTGTAATTAATACTAATTTAACATTTATTATTTAAATAATAAAATCAATTTTAAAAATATATATCATATATAATATCAAAGATAATAACTTTAATCAAATTAATTCAAATTGAATTATAAAATCCTTCAACACACTAATCTTTGGAAATAACTTTAACCTTTGAAAAAGTGACCATGCCAAATATTATTATTAAATTTGATATAATATGTTAATATTGAATTCTTTAGCTCTAACTATTTATCTAATTCTAATTTAAAATTAATATTGTGAGAGTTTCATTGACATAATATAACTCAAATGACTTGATTATTTTAAAGATAATCATTATTTTAAAGATAATCTGGATAATTAGTAAAACTATAATTTAGCTTTAAAAGAATTTCAAGAAGGTAATATCATATTAGATTGACTCAAGTTTCATAACTTAATTCTTAAAACCTGTAACACAAATCATGGACTCTAGTAGATTTAATAACTTTATTTTTTTAAGTTATTTTTTACTTAATGATATGACAATAAAAATAGACGCTTGTATAATTGAGTACCAATTAAATGCTAGGATGTTTGTTTGAAACTGCAATATTCATGTAAAAAACTAATTGAAACAAATTAAAAAGATTAATTCAAAATTAACTAAATATTAAAAGATAAAATTAATTAAAAAAAACAAAAGGGATTCAACCGAAAGAAAAAAAATGGAAGATGGCATTTTTTAAAAAAGAGAACTTATTTGCATTATTATTAAACCAAACCCAACATATCAACCTTGAAAACTATTATCTCAACTTTTTATCTAACTCAAGTTTAAAATTAACTCGTATGTAAGTTGACTCTACATGACCCAATTGATTTTGTAAGTCCAAAAGCAACTCGAACGAGCAATAGAAACATGGTTTAACTTTAAAATGACTTCAAGATGATATTTTTTTTTTAATATTAAGACAATGATATATTTAATCAACCCGAACTTTGTGAGTTGGTTTTGTAGCGTAACTCGCAAAACCCGCGACCCGGATCATGAACTCTACTGAGTTTAAAAAATTTGTTTTTAGTAGAAAAACTATTTTTTATTTATTGATATCAACATGTAACAAAATATAAACTTGCAAAATTTATGTACCAACAAAATATTGAGATTTTTATTTGAAAATACGATAACTTCATATAAAAAATCAAAATAAATTATTACAATCAATTCAAAATTAATAAAATATTAAAGATTAAAATTGGAAAAAAAATATTTGGAAAGTGGATTTTTTAAAAAAGGGAAAAATTTTTAAATTTTTTTAAAAAAGTATTTCACTATTCATATTTAAGTTAAGAGCGTAATGAACACAAATTGACAAAAGACGTGCATTTAAAAAGTTTTTTTTCTTTGTTTTTTTTCCCATATTCAAAACATATCAAGATTGTTGCTTTATAAGGATTCCTTAAAAGATATCAATGCAAACTGCACTGTCGCTTATAATCAACAGATAAATTAACAATATATATATTAGACATAATCAAAATCTGTTATATTAAGAGGAGCTGTTTCCCTTTTATTTTATCTATTGCACCTAACCTTTATTATTTATAAATATATGGTATCTGCATAACAAAAACCAGACAGCTTCCCTGTGGCAAGGGGCTGGTTGATTGAGTAGATTCTAGTTTGAATCCAGCTCCCTCAATCCTACTTTATGAACAAACATGCGTGTTATAGTGTTCCAACAGAAATCACTGCCCAGTAACGAGGAGATAACAGAAACTATTCCATAAATTCTAAAGCATTTGAGAATTTTGAAGACTTGGGAACCTGATAATGGTGATCATTTGATCGAAACAGTAACTAAAATCAGCCTCGATGTTGCAAGAACTTGCAGAGCTTGAGCATTCGTCGTTCCACTATTCGGAAAGAGAAGGCATTGGCCATTGTCGATTATCTTCCAAGGATCAAGTGTCGTGATTCTAAGTGGGGCCTTGCATGCTTGAGGAGAATCCGGTAATGATATAGATTTTCCTTGTACCTTACGAATTCCAAGTTTAGTTTTGAGGATCTGCCATTCTTTTTGTAAACGTTCAAAGTTTTTTACATTTTTCTATTGGATACAAGTCATTGAACGTTGAATTTCATCCATGCATGTATCATAAATTTGCATAGTTTAGGACAAAAGATGGCCTGTTAAATTACGTAGTACATGTATGATCTGGTGATGGTGCAACCCACTTGC